ATCTATACTATAATAAGAGATCAGCATTCTCCAGAATCTAACACGGGCCTCTTATTTTGCTGACACCTGTCCCTTAAAAAAAATAGTCAACAAAACTTCAAAGAAAAAAAAAGCCTATTCGCTAATCTTCCTCCTCTCAGTTTCTTAAACTGAAAAATAAACGTTTTTTTGTTTTTCTTCCTCCTCTCTGTTTCTTTCCCAACATGATTTTGAATCCTCATTTCAACTCTATGCTCAGTCCCAGAAGAGCGGCACCTCCGGTCACGGTGGTCTAATCCACGCCCGAGAGGACACGTGGCTAGCCTTTTTATTTGATACATGTCCACAAAATTTAACAAAACACACTTAAACATTTTCTTTAACAAAAAAGCACTTAGGTCTCTCCACCTTTTCTTCTTCGCTAGGGTTTATACCACATTCTGATCCTGATGCAGCGTAGGCCGCTCCATCAGATCCAGATTTGTGATAACCCATTAGATCGACCAAAAAGGACCCATGAACGGTGGAATCGGATGTTTCATATATATAATATTCACATAAATCTAGCTTAGATATAATCAGTTGAGTTACTTCTATTTGTGTCATGAAGCAACATTAAAGTTGTTAAGCAAAAAAACTCATGAAATTTTGTTGCTAATATTAATGGTTAATCTACTAAATATTTAAATATCTAATCTCAATATCGCTTCATTTATCCCTCGCATTGTCTATGCTTTCACTTTTGATGTGTCTTTATTCTTCTTAGTGTGTTGATCTCGCTTTCGTTTCGATCATCAAAATTGCTTCTTCTCGATCTATAGAGATTCAAAGCGAAAACACTATCTATTACTATCTGATTTTTTTTACGTATTAATTTATTTTTTCCTTCTTAAGGCTACCAATTAAGATTAAAACAACACCATCATCAGTGTCATATCAAATTTAGCGTCATATTTACACATCACATTACATATCAACATTTTTTATTTCAAAGATAAATTAAATGAAAAATCACATTAGATTTGTGAAGACGAAAACAATTGAATAAGATATGTTTGGCTGACTAAAATGAGGATACAAAGATTGCAAACCATTTTTTAGAAATTCAGTATAGAAAAAATTGTATTATGATAATTCTTACTCTTAAACATAAAGTTGTTGTGTTCGGAAGTATCAATATATTCAATACAATATAAGACGTATCAAACGTTTTTAACATATTGCATATGTTATTTCAAAATTATTAGATCATAAACAATTTAATGTAATTGGAAATACATCCAATTTTATGAAAAAATCATGCAAACAAACAATGCACTTACTCATTCTTCTCTTTGTTTGTTTGCCAAAAGAGAAACACATGATGAAAACCGAACAGTTTATCAGCTTCTTGAACGCATGGAATAATTTCTGCCGGTGGCTAGAACACAACTGTCTCTAAAATGTACAACACATGGTGAGCTAAACAATCTCAAAGAAGTCAAAAGCTGATGGCGAATGTATAAGTTTCAATGCCTCAGACACACCTTGTAGTGCCTGAGACACTTATAGCCGCCTCTTGAAAAAGAGTATGCCTATGGTATATGTACTCTCATTATTTCAATAAACCATATATTCAAATTCATAAAAATGTCTAAAAATAAATAATTTCCAAAATGTTAAGAGAAGAAACAATACTTAGCTTTCTAAGTTTTTGGACTTATGAAACTTGATTAAGACAAAAAAGAAAAAAATGATCATAAACTCGAGGAGTTTTTGTCTTACCGTACCTTAAGAATTTTTGTTTATGCAATTAGATTGCCATGTTACCGCACCGACCAAGAATGTGAAAACAATAAACCAGTTTCTTGAGCTTGAAGAAACCCATGAATCTGATTAACTATGGAGTTAAAACTTTAATACTTTCCTTTAAGTTTGCAATATCAAGATTTTGACGTATAGAGGATCTGATTTAGAGTAGAATAGGTGAACCGAGTGGTGAAGATTTCCTGCTTTTTGAAACAAAAAACTTTGATTCTTAAATCTCATATAATTTTTTTTTTTAAATAGCTTTCTTATTTGGAAAAAAAATGTACTACTTTTAAAATATCTAGTACGTGTAATTTTTTTTTTCTTCATAATTAAAAGATATACTACGCATCTGTCGGTCAAAGCTAAGACATTTTTAGTCGATTGAACGAACGACCGAATGATTAGGTGACCGTTGAAGAACATAATTTCAAAGCATATTCTTGACCAATAATTTTCTATGAAAAATTCAAAGCATAAAATGACCAAACACATGCTTATGTTCCTCTTATTATTATGCTCTCCAAATCCAGAAAACCCCAACATATAGCTAAAGATTCATATTTTCATTTTTGTAACCTAAAAGTTACGAAACAAACAAATCATTACTACTCAATGTCACGAATTCAACTTTATTTCGGAAAGATGATTTGCACCATAAACGCGGTATTATTAACAATGGACCCAAACACGAGAAGAGATTATAGGCTCAAAGTCCAAAAATTTCTATGGTTGATAAACAAAAATAGAAAACTTATTACTCGGGTAATGATCTCAATTAAACCAAACAAAAAGCCGTACACAAAAATACACTAACAATCTCTTGCAAATAATTTGAACCATCCTCGCTCAAATCTTTTG